CTAAGTTTTATTGGACATTTCCTGAAATTGCCTTTACCCATTTTTTTAAATCCTGCTGTTAAAAAAATCAAAGCCTTGGGCAATAAAGATAAAAATAAAAACTTTTGGCAACAGTAACATGAACACACTACATTCAAATTCCCCTCAATGAAAGGGAAAGCTGACAACACAATACTTTTAGAAATACAGATACAAAAGATCGGCCGTGTTTTATTAATCCTAATCAGTCTTTATTTGTATAACGCCAATTCTTAAAGGAGATCTATTCTGCTGATCCATATTTAAATACATATTATGTTGTTATATTTCCATACTCCACAAAGTGTTTTTCAAACACAAGATGCACAGTTGTCGACTTAATCCCCAGACTTGGGTTCCTGCTGCTCTGAACGAGACTTCACGAGAACTTCTCCAGAATGAGACAGAACCTGACGTCATGTCCTGCCGACGTATTGGAGCAAAGCATGGAGCAAAGTTTTAGGACACGCCCACCGCGGCAGCTCTTTCAAGGACATGCAAACGAGGAGGCTTACTCAAATGTCCCTGGGGCTTCAAATGGCAAATAGGAGGAAAGTGAGCACGTCGGGAGGCAGATCTTAAAGAGACAGTCGTATAAATGTAAATATAAAAGTGTTTCAGGCAGAGTCTGAAATGAGACATTTAACTGATGTCAGTATCAGATAAATAAGGAGATTTCTGAGCTACACGTCTCGCAACGCTACTGAACAGGTGTCTCAAACTGACCTAGTTAAAGGTTAAAGTGTGAATAATAGATCTCCTTTAACAAATGTCATCTAAAGACGCTTTACAAAAAGAGCAGGTCTACATAGACACAGCACATGATTACATTTGGCAAAGTCAAAGATATAAAGAAACGCTACCATGCTAATATTAGCATCACACTACTATCTATACATAAAACAACCTCACCACATTTAACATCAACACAAAACCAAATGATGTTTTCTTCATCATCCTGCAGTACAGGATCTTTTTATATTAGATTTTGAGGTTGGCCTCTCTGTAACAAACTGAAATACTTACCTGTTTCAAACGGTTGCAGAGGGAAGCAGAACAAGTGACTTCCCCTCCACCAGCTTCCATTTACCTTCATGCAACACAGCCGCAAGACGCTCTGAGTGTGACGCTGCTATTCCCCTCATCAACCTGCATCAGATGACACATGCAACACTCCAATTTAAATTACAATCAGCGACACGTTCACTGCCTGTCACTGACGCTTGTTTACAGTAAATTGGGAAAATGTGAGAAATATTTCATGTTCCCCTCAAACTCAGAAAAGTGGACTATAAATAATGATGCCAGGGTGTCACAGGAGGTGTTTGATGCTGAACCCTTAGTGGTTATATAACATTGCATTAAAATTTAATATTCCTCTTATTGTTTTCCTCTTTGTCCCTGCAGGATAATGTGCGAGTCGGTGCGCTACGAGAGACACGAGGCCAATGAAGTGCTGTACTAGTAAGTATCACGATGTGCAGAGATGCATGGATGTGATGTGGCTGGTGTCTAAATGGATATTGATGATATTTCATCATTTACTTACATCTCTACAAGCGTAAAAAAACACATAAAGAAACACTCAAGGGGCGGCCGGGGTGACAATGTTTCATCTGCGATTGGTCAAAGCACACCTCGGGTCTGTTCCATTACTCAAAGTTATTGATGAGTGGAGGCGTGCCAGGGCCGCACAGCAGAGCGACCTGTGAGTCCACAGATGAAAATAAATGTCCATGAAGCACAGACGCAGTCAGACGACGCTTTTATGGAAGTGTCAGTGCTTAACATGGAGATAGAGAACCAAGAAGGCATTTCTAGTTTTATCAGCTTGATTCAATAAGTCAGGTTACATCGAATCCACACTGAATCTGTTATCTCGCTTTAACAAGGAGGAAGCTATCGCCAGTCACTTTCCCCTTTCAGCTGAAAGGCTGCTGTATTGACAGCTTCAGACTGTGTTTGGACCTGTTTAGGAAAAAAAAGCTGCCACAGCTGTAGTAAGCAGAGATCACACACACAGTGTTTCACTGCCGTCACATGTTGACTTCTCCAGAACACCCATGGTGAGAATTAAGACTGTTGATTAACTCTATCAGGCTCCGAGGGGGTTAGAGAGGGGCCATTGTCCCCCTTCTCTCAGCCTCCTGATTCCCTGAGTGTGGGTCAGTGAGTGTGTGTGGGTGTGTATGTGTGTGTGCTGTGGAGAAGAGTCAACACCTCATTAGAAGCCCACTCGGAGGTGTGGGAGCTCATTAAACAAAAGGAATGCAGATTAAGTGGCGGTCGCATTACAAAACTCAAGCTTCAGCAAGATTCCCTCAGGTCCAATAGAAACGATACCCACATGCATGCACACACACACACACACACACACACACACACACACACACACACACACACACACACACATTCATTCAAGCCTTGTGCATAAGCTCACTTTGCATTTCTAGTGGTTTTGTTTATCAAGATGTTTTTGTCAATTTCCCATGAAAAATGTAAATGTTCAGAAGGACTCATTTGTCGACACTAAGCCGGTCTAATCTTTAAAAGGCTCTTTTAACTCTCCGTTGTGCTTTTCATGTTTAGAACTGACCTTTCCCAAACCTCTCTCCATCATGCAGAGATAGTGGAAAACATTGGGAGTTATAGTGGTTTGTTGTGGTTGCAGCAGTGTAGCTCAGTTTGTTGGGACTTGGGTTGGGAACCGGTTCAAGTCCCAGTGTGGACTAAAATGGTTGGTCTGGTACTGCCAAGGTGCCCTTGAGAAGGACACTGATCCCCCACCAGCTCTGGTGCGCTGCCTGTGTAGCAGCTTCACTCTGACATCTCTCCACTAATGCATGTCCACAGGTTTCTGCATGTGTGTGTCTCAGGTCCTATATGTGTGAGAAGCATGTCACTAAATAACAGAGTGTCAACTAGAATTTCCCTCAGGGATTAATAAATTATGTACAAAAAAAACGACTTTTCTAGAACTATGATGTAAACCTGCACAGTCACAGAAGTCGTTCTCACACAACATGCACCCCTGAACATTTCTCAATAATTTCAGTGTAGTGTAGTGCATCTTGTTACAGGGTCAATCACAAATCAATCTGTGACAGCCGTCTCTCTTATGAACGGGTCAGATGCAGGTTATATATGCATTCAGCCCACCTGCTTTAATTATGTCCTACATAAAGGAGGAGTATCCAGAGTAGAGGAGAGTCAAACTGTCTGTACTTTTCTAAGTTTACCTCCAGGCTAAAGCATCAAAACACAGCAGCTTTCTTCTCTTTGTGCTTTATTGGTTCATTTAATCTGCACAAGTGTCTCGTTTCTGTTTGTTAGCGTGTGTTTCTCCATCAGTTTACAAGCCGTACGAGCGTTTTCGTGCATGCATGTGTGAACCTATTAAAAAGCCGCCCTGATAAGAGCCCTGGTGTTAAACAGCAGCAGATCAGATTGACTTTCTTCCTCAGTGAGATCCATATCAACTGAAAAAAGAAAAAAAAACAAGCTTTTAACAGTCTGTCTTCATTTCTGGGCCAGTTTACAACAACTGCAATAATTTGCTGGGAAATGAAGGCTCTAAAAGTCAATGGGGGAATTTAAACGGGATAGTATCTTTAATTGCGTTTTAAAAATAGTATGGCATTCACATTAAGACATATTTTACACAGCTGTAAAGAGAGTTCTACAAAGAGGGAAAATCAGGCTTCAAGTATGTATCACAAGCAACATTTTACAGTTGAGACGCCTTTAAAGGTCACATATCATGCAAAATACACTTTACTGGGTTTTTCTATCACTAATATGTGTCCCTAGTCTGTTTACAACCCCCCAATGATGAGAAAAGTCCATCCTCTCCGTCTTTTCCTGCTCCACTTTCAGAAAATGTGTGCTCAAACAGGCCGTTTGGAGATGTTCCCTTAATGACATCACAAAGGGCAGTAGCCCCTCCCCCAGGTGGGTGACACTCCCACAGCTAGGTGTTTGTTCTGCCCTCTGAGTCTGCCTTCTCACCGTAAACAATAGGACATGGAGCGAGAAAGCCTGAGCAACCCAAGCCCTTCCAGAGAGGGGGCGTGGTCAGACACAGCTCATTTACATATTTAAAGGTACAGACACAGAAACAGCCTGAATATGTCACCTTTAATGGTAAAGACCATCAGGTCAAAGTTGGTGTAGCTGAAAACTCTTAACATTGTAATATACCTTATTTTAACAGAAAACAAATACAACCATTTTCAAGAGTATGATGACCGCCTAGCAGTTTCTAGATCAGGCCACATGTAAGGAGGCTGTGGTCCTCCAGACTGGCGGCCCGGGTTCGAGTCCGGCCTGTGTTGAAGATATGTTTTTTTAGTTTGTAGGTGTAAATACTATTGCACTTGATTTATTGGAGAAAAGCCTCACCGTTATTTTTTACTGAATATCTCTTGATTTAAAGAAGAATGACATGCAAAAGAACATTTTACTTGGAAGTAAACCCTGGCACCATATTTATGTGTTTTTCTTTCCCTCCAACACATGCAATGTTGCATAAAATCACTCAGATCCACACAAGCGACCTAGTTAATGACCCACACACTCAGAGTCTCACTCTTCCTAGCTCTAACAGTTGGCAGTCCCCGAGTAATGATAGGAGGATAAGGGTAATGGTTAGAAAAGTACTCATCTTTCCCGCCTGCGGCTCTAGATTGCTGAAGTGCTCACACCACACACACACACACACACACACACACACACACACACACACACACACACACACACACACACACACACACACACACTAGTCACACTCCATATCTCATGAAAACATCCCATACTGTGAGAGGCTGAACCTCTCAGGATTTACCACCATGAGATTATCGAGCTAAAGCCCTCCTGAGATGGAGGCTGACCCGACACATTTTAACCAGTCGTGGCTTCTGGTTACTTTTTTGACCCTCGTTGGATCAACTGGTCCAACTTAGAACGATATGCTCGTCAATTAAAGGAGTTTTTTGTTGAAGTTGTGCATTAGCTTGTTTGGGAATCTGAACTTTGAACTACAATTGGAGTCAAAATTGTAAGTATTTAATTGAATTAGACAATCCAATGATTAGTCAATGAACACAAGCTTTATTGGAAATATTTAGGTAATTAACTCTTCCTGAATTTGTGTAGTATGTCTTTACCTTCTGGTTGCAAGTGTTTCCGAGTAGCTGCATATGTGATTTTTTTTTTTTGTTGCACCCAGACTTTTACCTTAATTTTTCCTGACAGCCCTCTTGTAAAATTCCCAGAGGTCAGGATGAGCTTCTATGTGAACGCAGCAGGTAAAAGTCAGGAAAGTTCCCCGGTGGCAAAGTAGAAGGTTGAACTGAACAGTTTATATTAGGTGACCAGTGAGCGACGGTTGTGATTGAAGTGAACCTAATGAAGCAGCAGCTTTCTTTTTTTGCTTGCTAACAATATATTTCAGTCTTTAGTTATCAAACAGGCCATCTTGGATCTGTTGTAAACTTCATGACCCCGGTGTCTTGATTACATCATGTCCTGCCTCCTTAGACCCCCCCTGCCTCCACCCTACAGAGGAAACTTCATGCTGTTTTTTTTAAGGCATATATGACTAACAACTTCAGATAATATCAGAGGTATGCTGTCATGAATCTTCTTGACTTTGAAAATGAAAATGTGTAATGTTTTATTTATAATGATAGGTGAATGAAAGCTAGTTGCAGCTATCTATTTCTTTTGTTTGTTATTAAGGAGATTTAAAGCTATAACATTGTCATTGTTTGTGGCTGATTGGACATCATGTGAAAAGTGAAAATAAGCAGCTTGATAATCTGATTGCATAATATCTACTCTATTTCTGCTTTTACTAAAAAAAAAACTGAATGTCATTCTCCCTGTCCTTTCTTTGTTTGTGGTTTGGTTGTCATGAAAACAAAATATTTGACCCCCCCCCCCCCCCCCTTTATGACTGCCACCCCACTTTAAGCTCACAGTCAGAGAAATGTACGACATGTAAAATAGTTAAAAGAGGAAGATTAGACGTTTGCCTCTTGACGGGGCTGAATCAGTCCAAGGAAAACAACGGTTACCATGGCTACCATGCCAAACTGTTTTAAAGGGATTTGCCATAAGAGAAAGATACAAACACAAATCTTACAGCTGTTACTTCAACAGTTAGGTGTGGCAACAAATCTTTGCTTTAAAGACCAGTTTGTCTTTTTTCATGTATTTAAAGTTTAAACATCTCATGGGGGCCTAGTGGTCTTTTTTCATATATTTAAAGTTTAAACATCTCATGGGGGCCTAGTGGTAGCCTAGTGGTTAGTGCGCGCCCCATCTACAGAGGCTTTAGTCCTCTAAGCTGGCACCACGGGTTTGAATCCGACCTGTAGCTCCTTTCCTGCATATCGCTCTCCACTCTCTCTCTCTCCCTGATTTTTTTTTAGCTCTGTCCACTTTCCTGTCTCTAAAATAAAGGCACAAAAAGTCCAAAAATAAACGTCTTATAACGTACGGAAGAAGAGCATTTCATAGTCGTTAACATCTTGATTCCTTGTTGAGTCTCTGGATGGAGTGACGCTCCCATGCAGCTGCAGTGAAACATCACAGGACTGTATGTGAGGAAAACCAGCGGGAGAGCCACTAAAAACCTCATTACATCCATGACACCTTATATAACTGTACACTCTAGTACAGGGCAGACATGGCAGCTTATTGGATAGAAAAAAAAAGAGCACGAAAGGAAAATAGTGTCTTTGGAGCGTTTTAATGAAATGGAAGTGTTAGATTTGAACTGATTCAAGAGAAAGTAGCTCAGTGGGTGTAGTACAAACCTTATAGAATAAAAGTGAGCAAGTGAAACACTGAGCATTTCAGAGTGTCACTCCTTTGTTCATAATTGTGTCTTGTAAATGTATCGCTACATCAGAGCCAAACAGAAGAGAGAGTTAAAGACCAAACACGAGACGTTGGTGCGTCTAATCTGATCAATCTTTCATTTTTCAACTGTGTCAAAGTTGTCTCGATCATAAACCACTAAACATTGTCCTCTCCCAAACTCTCTACTGACCTATGATCAGAATTTAAAGGGCATTTAATTGATTGCAAAAGTGTTCCAACCGCTCATCATGTCATGTCATGATTTTGGCATTCTCAGTCACTTGAGATTGTCCCGTCCAGGACACCACAACAATCCCTTCCAGTGGTCATGTCGTCAGCTGTTGGTTTATACTCCACCACTGAATGTGCTCGGCAGACACACCTCTCCTGTTTTGAAACTCTGGTTATTTAACTATCTCGTATGTCCAAACCCTGTGCAGCATTTTGTTGAGTTCAGCCGAACCAACTGGTTCTCATTTTAAAAAAAAACCGTTTCATTCTGGACTAAAAAACTCTGCATCTCACGTTCCAGGACTGTATGGATCCTACATTCACCCTCGGTTTACCCTCTTTCACCCGCCCCAGAGGCACTCGGATAACCCGGATCCATGCTGTTAAAGACTTTCCTCGGGGAGGTTTGGGTGGATGATGTTTAGCGTTTGACGACTGCTTCCAATACGCATGACCCAGTTCAGTCAAGCTGTCTTGGTGCATGAGAGTCTACTATCTCCTTCTCTTTTTGGGTGTTGTATCTTCCTCCTCCTCCATGCGAGGTGCTCCCCTCGATTGGTGTCAGCAATTAATAATTGAGCATTTCCTGCGTGTCTTCTCTGAGTGCGAGAAGCAGCCATGAGAGGATGGAGATGAGTAGGAGGAAGAGGAGAGTGTGAGCTGATGGAGATTTAGCAGTGTGTCAGTAGGGTGTGCTGCTGCCCTCAGTCTCATTAGATCTACAAGGAGAAGTGTGAAGAGGATGAGGGGGAAACACCTGGTCAGCACAGTGATGCTAGGTGTGAATATATGTGTCTGTGGGGGGGGGGTGCATGCATCCTTTACCTTTCTGTGAGCAAAAATCCAGTCCTAGCATGCTGATGTGTTACCGGTCATTGATTTAGTTTTTCTTTTCCTCTCAGGTTGTAAATGAAAAAGTCTCACTCAGACCAGGTGAACATGTTCACAGGTGCTGCTGCCCTTATTACCACAAACCTTATTAACCACCAGGCTCAGGGTTTGATGACCGGGCAATCCTTTTCTGAGCATGATCGCTAACAGACAGGGCAGGCGGAGGCTTCACACAAAGAAACATCTATTTTTATTAGCTGTGAAGATTTGTTGCAGTTCTCAGAAGAGATGATTACAGGGTTTTCACTCCAGTCAGACCTGGACTGATGCAGACTGATGTTGAAGCATCAAATGTTTTCATTTGTCTGAGACTTTTCAAAATGATGTTATTCTTCTTCTTCTACTGTTTTATGAAATCACTTTTTCCTTAGGTTTGATAAGAAGTTTGGAAATTGGGCTTCAACCAACGAGTATGTCAGGTGTCAATGAATCTGCAGATACTTACTAAAAAAAGTAATGTCACCAATTAACCAGCTATACAAACTTATCTTACCTTAGCAGTTTTTATTGTCACAGACATGAGACTGCTAGACATCCTGTCGTCTACATTGACAGACTCCTCTGCTTTAAAAACTCGTTTGCACCCGCCTCAATCAAAGGTTCAGTGTTTCATGAGGCTGTGTGGGTTTTACAGCAGTGTCATGGTTTGAATTGTTTTAACAGTGTTTAATTGTTTTTATTGATTCTGGTGGAAGCAGCTGAATGTTTGGCAGCACTTTAAGTCCAAGACAAATTTCCCCAAGAGGACAGTAAAGTGCATCATATTCCTCAGTGGAAAGCCAATCAGTGTATTGCCCAAAATAAAATGTGACCTTTTTCTTTAAGAAGTCATCAAGTGTATGTGAGTTTTAAGAGGTTGCATCAGACGTAAAATAAATAATGCTTCATTGATTCATCATGAACTATCTAAGAACTCTTTAAAGAGATTCTAACACATTTTGAGAGTAAGTCTGTTGTTTTGGAAAAGAATCAGGATGCTTATTAAAAACAAAGATGGCACCAGAATGACCGTAGCCTAAATCTCTTAATGGAGCTAGTTTTAGTTTTACTTGTTAACAATCATCAAAAAAAGAAGTGTTCTTTTACTTTCATGCTTATTCTTTTGTCTTCCTCTGTCATGTTGAATTCCCAGCACTGAACGATGGTGTCAGCGCTACGTGACATGAGACTACTTCCTCGTTGGGTTTTTTTTCTACTTCCACCTTACTTTCACCTTACTGTCACAAGGTGAACAGATGGTTTGCTCAGGAACTTTCATACAGGGACATTTTAAAAACGAAACTCACAAGAATCACAAGCTGTCCTATTTCTGCAGAAATCCCAGGTTAAACATGTCTCAAAAGCCCCCTTTGAACCGCGGGAACTTTCCCCCTGAACTAGGGACCTTTTGAGGACCTCTGTGTATTTCAACCATCAGAACCAGGGTCTAACTTTAGTTCTGGGGTAAAAGATCTACCCCTAAAAAAAGGGAGGATTGCATTCTTTCTAAAGGTCCAAGAACTTTTAGGGGGCAGGGCATGTCTCTGCAACGTCTCTGATTGGTCAAGCACAGAAGGTTTGAAAGACTGAAGCTGCATCATGCCCACCTTCATGTGGGCTGTTACTAAAGCAGATCTGTTTCAGTGTGATATCTGCCCTGACCCTGCACAAAGATTGCATACAGTGTGTTATACTTTAAGCCCTCTCACCCCGTGCATACAGATGAAAGCATACGTTCCAGTTTCCATCCATCTCCAATGCATTTGTTTACATTTTCAGTGCTCTACCATACATGCCCGCTTTTGATAATCCTGCATACTGAGGCATAAAAGATTCAGTGCATCTCAGCGCTCTGAGATTATCCCGCTGCAATCCCTCTGATAGCCGTGAAAGTCCTGAGATAAGCTCGATGAGTAAAGAAACCAAAGCAATGCATTAAAAAATAAACAACTCTGTGCCATCATTTCAAAAAATATCAAGCCTGCTCAAAACACTAACAGTCTAAATTTAATATCTGAGTCTTGAAGCTGAGGGCAAACTCTCCTCAGTAGACGGTTTTGATGCGTCTTTTTTAAAGGCTTTTTGGCTCACTAGTAACGTCTGAAATGACATCAAACTAAAAAATGAAATGTCTTAAAGTGCCGTGTAAGTCTGCTGGAAGTGTGTGTGCGTGTGTGTTTGCGTAGAAGTGGTGTTGTAAGAACTTGACAGCCAGCAGCATCATCCAGGAGGTCAGCCAGAGTTTACATCGTCTGCGATGCCCAATTTCCATCGTCTGTGAGTTTCAGCAGGGCCACGGGTGTGGGTGGATGAGAGATGATTCCTCGGTTCATTCATAGTTCTCTCCATCTCTCTCTCTTTCTCTTGTTTTCCTCCTTTTTTCACTTTCTTGTTTTGAAACCAGTGATCTTTATTTGGCACAGGGAGCAGTCGCTGTTTGCTGATGCGTTAACTCGCAGAACCTCTGTAGATCAAGCACATGACGAGGCACATGTCAAGATTAGAGAAAGTGAGGCTCTAACAAATGAAGATGTTCGTTATTCTTCAATCATTGGATGATTTAGAAATAGAGGACGACTCATACATCTTTGATCTAGCCAGTAGTATTCACTCAGATTCAGGGTCAGTATATTTTGTCTGTCTCCACTGTGTCCAGTAGTCATATATGTTTTAATCAACTCTTCTCTTTCTGTCTTCTAGTCCTGACGACGTTGGAAGCTGCTGGTACATCCTGCTGTCCGGCTCGGTCTTCATTAAGGAGTCCATGTTCCTGCCCAGAAGCAGGTAAGATCAGCGGCCGTTAACGTCGGAGGTGCTGCTTTAACGCTTGAGACTCCTGAACGAGCAGCCTCCTCCTCCTCACAGTCGTTTGAGAATGAATGCCAATCCATGACTTGTAAAGAGAGGATGTTGATATAAGATATGAATTAGAGAGTAAGGGCGTTTTCATATGAGGCACGATTGGCTCCCCCCCGGTGGTCTGTGTTCACATCAGTAACATCGTTCTGTACCTGAGTAGCAGGTGGCAGTATGCACATAGTTGGTTTGCAAATCCGCCAAAAGAAAGCAGGAAGAAGTAACCATGGCAACCACTCGAGGACTGAGTTGATCCTGCTAACTGTGGCTGTTTTTGTTATTTCTGAGACGCCAACAACGACCCTCTTCCTACTTCCACATATCGTGCAGCTCAGAGGATGAAACGGGCCGGTGCTGCTCCGATATGGCGGTTGTTGAAGCGACAGGAGGCGTTTGGTAAAATGTAATCATATAACGGTCCACTTCCTTGTTTGAGCACGGTTGTGTTTGCATCTCCACACATGAACCGGACTTTCGGGTCTTAAGCGGACTCTGATCCGGGCCCGGGTCCCGAATGTGAAACCCCCCTAACCCTAAGGAGATAAATGCTCAGTGATTTCTCAACTTTTGTTTCCAAAAGTTTTTTCCACAGAACGAAATGCAAATGTGTTCAATCTTCAACATTTAGCAGCAGATTGGCACACATACAGGATATCAGTTTGCTCTACTTTCTGGTATAATCCTTAAAAAAACAAAAACCCTGATGTCCCAGTTTGACCAGTACACAGCAGATCTGCTTCTCTCAGCTAACAGAAGAATGCTGCGATTGTGAGATGCATTTTATTGCGAGGAACCAGAGATGGCATCGGCATAACTTTCCCACATGTGTTGAGAACAAAGACATTCACAGTGTCTCTGTTGAATAAACGCTCTCTGTGGCTTCCCAGGAAAGATCTGAATGAGAAGAGATATAGGAAGACGGCATGAAATGCAAACTGATGTGGCAAACAAGATACACAAATATTCTCATGACTAAAAAAAACAAAAAACAGACTCTCTTTCATAAATATTCAGTAACAGTATCACAAAAATACCACACACTATCCTCCACATGCTCAACACAGCGTTCTCTGCCACTGGCAAGTTAGAAAAAGACAAAAAAAAAGAAATATCATTGCTCCAAAATGTATAAATATTCAATCTTCATGTGTTTATAGAGTCACATTATAGCTAAACACAGAAAGCAAACAGGGAAGAGGATGCAAGCCACCTCAGTAAATCCAGTTCACAGTAGTGAGTAGAACTGGTTCTATGGCGGACAGTGAAAAAGCATCTGATGCTATGATGACATTTTTTACCCTGATAGAAATGCTGTAATTTGACAATATTTATATAAGAGTGGAAAAGTCGTACTAACAAGCAGAAATAAGGATGAAGCGGCGTGCACGACCTCACACAGATTAGGTGATTTACATGTCTTCATCCCCCCCCTGCTCGCTCACTGCTGCAACTTTTACATTTACATTTATTTTCTCCTGTGTTCCCTAGACGGTCATTTTTTACCAATACACAAATACCTTTAAAGAGGACATATATCCCCCTCTCCACCTTTTCAAACAGCCCCCCTGTGGTCTAAATGAAACATCTGTGCTGTGCTTTGGTCAAAATATAACATGAATCAAGCACCAGAGGAGGTTTGTGACCCTGTATAAACCAGCTCTCTCTGAACGCTCCGTTTTGGTGTGTGTGTCTCTTTAAATGTAATGAGCCCCCCTGAGTTTTCCACGTAGACATCGCTCCATCACTAGTGAGAATAAAAATGGCGGACCTGCAGTAAAGTTTTTCTCTATGCTGGGGGTGGAGTCCATGGGTGGAGATACAGGGAGGGGAGGGTTTTGTTTGACCAGAATCCCACTGTGACATCACAAGTAGAGCACATTTGAAACAGAGCATTTTTCTCTTTGTTTTAAGACTTATGCAGACCACAAACAAAGGACTGGATGGTTTATTTCACATGTTGTGGGTCAGTAGACACTCAGGTTACCCAAATAATGTTCAACAACACTGTGGAAGTGGATTTTTAATAATATGTCCCCTTTAAGTGTTCAAAGAAAGAAAGAGAGATTGATGTCTCCAGAGCTCAACCCAGTGATAAAAATCAACAATGACAGCCTCAGTGGACTCTCCCTCCCTCCAGCTCTCAGCAGTCATCAGCACCTCTGAAGCCAAGACCCAAATGTTAAAAAGCTGTGATTTCACAAGCGGCTCTGTTACATGAACCATCTCTGTGGGCGTCTAGAAAACAATGATCTTTTTCATCCATTAGTCTTGCATAACACACACACACACACCTACGGCCACTCAGAGCTCCGGGCCGTCCCAGCAGCTCTGTGGGGGTCGGCCGCGGTCATTCTCGGGATTCAAATGAACGTGGGAGGCATTTTAAAACAGAGGACTCGATCGGAAATGTGGCACAAAGCTGTTCCCTTTTCCTTTTTTTTTTTTAGATATAACCTTCTCAGTTTGACAAGGTGAGAGTGTGTGTGAGTGGGATGCCGAAGGGGGATTTGCAGGTATTGGCAGATTAAAGTTAATGCTGGACTGCAGTCACTGGGGACCAGAGGGGGTTTTTAAAAATGTTTACTAAGCATTTGTTGTGAGGAAGTCAGTGCAGGAGTCCACTCTGCTTGGCTGCTTTGTTTAGAGTGACGCTAATGGTGCTGAAACAAGATTGTCTCGTTTCTGTCAACTGCACTAAATTATACATATAATGATGCATGAACGGCAAACTGAGCCATTTCAGACAGAATCACCTTACTCACAACATCAAGCAGGAGACATTTTCATAACCATTTTATAGTTACAGCACCTGCTTGATCAATATCGTACAAAACACTTCTGAAATCTGTATTTTACTTCAGTTTGTTTAACTACTTAAACTCAGGTACCAGAAAACTTACACCGTCAGCACATTGAAATTGTAACATTTTCCTTAAAAGCAACCCTTTGACAGTATATAGACAGCAGAGATAGTTTCTGACAGTATATTTATAGAGACCTTCTGACAGTTTTCTGTACATACCACCAAAACACTTTAAAGAGGAGGCTAATTTGCACCCACACGATTGTCTCCTCTCCCATTCCCCCGCTGGCCTGCACTCACACTGCTCCAGGACTAACTGGGCCTGAGCACGGTTACCTCTTGTACACAAAGTCCTAATACAAACACATGCATTGCTTTCCCAGATCATTAAGTGTGCATAGATTACAAGACAGGTTGACTCAAAAAATCTATAGTAAAAAAAGGGACGTGCAGTAGAGTCTGCACATCTGAGAACAACATAGATAATACTGACATTGTGTCTTATTTTGAGTCATTTTAATCACAAACAGAACCATAATAATTTGGGTTTTCTCGATAATGGAGGCGGGTATCGATTATACTTCATGTCCAGGTTGTGTACTCGTGATTGTACTCTCATGCGAACTGGACTTTGAAGGTGAAGCGTGCTTAGGCATGGTATGGATTGCCTAGTTTTAGTGTTAGTGGTTTGGTGTGCAGGGTTTACATCTACTAACCTACCAACATGTGAAGCTGTCTTCTGTGACCTTTCCGTATTTTAAAGCCATGTTGTTTAAGTTGACTAAACTTAACTAAACCACACACAGAGCAGCGTGATGCAGTCATAAAGCCTCATTAATATGCACAGCTTTGTGGAGTACAATGAGGAGAAAAACATTGTTTAAACATCTGTCATGTTGTCAGTGTTTCCTGTAGAAAACATGAGTTTGAAGATACGGTATCAGACCGTTTTCCCACCGTGTTAGAACTGATTGGAGTATAAGTTTCACACAGCTCTGGGCTGCCATGGATGATGTATTAAAAAAACATCAGATTTGGGTGGAAGAATTGAGCAAGACATATTTCCCCAGTGACGAGGAAAGTCAGCTTTTGAAATGACACATTCAAAATGACATATTCTGATTCAAGAGATCAAGGACGTCTGGTGTCATGAAACTCACTCTGCTCTCGAGTGATAGTAATATAGTGCATGGTTTGGATCCCGTCAATCTCTCCACTTTAACTCTTGTGTTCAGGCGTAGTGACAGATTTGAATATTGAACGGTCGGTAATGAGTCGAGGCATATCTGTGTTAGAGGACTGTTCACAGCTCACTCCCAGGAAACTGTATTTTTAACATTTCTTCCTCAAAATTGTTAGTCATAAAAGTATTTTTGAATTACCATGTCGACAAGAAAAACAAAATGGGGATGGCAAAATGTCCTGAAGGGGAAATTGGTTGTGACAGGAGGAACTGAGCGGAGTCCAGCGGGACTTCCTGAAGCTTTTAAAGACGCGGTGGACTCGGGTTTCAGACCGGCCCCTGCCCAGAAACGGCCGTTCATATCTATTCTGGCAGCGAGGTTGAAAACCTGATATGCTTCCATCTTTCTCTCTCTCTCTGCCGCTCGCTGTATAGTGAGATGTGATCCGGGGGAAGAGGAATGACTCAGTCATTAAGAAGCAGAAGCTGCAGCTCTGTGCTGTATTTAACCCAGCAGCCAGTGTGAAACCAGATACAACCCAAATAAATAAATCTTTACCGAACGAGAGGACACAGATTTTAAAAACATGTAGAAACACGTCGTGCTTCATGACAACAGGCTCTGTGATCACGGCCTTCTTTCAGCTCCATGATAATTATGTCAGAAGAAGAAGAGATCATAAGACTGATCATAAGCAGTCGTCATGTTGGACTCAAACCATAGTCCATCCATCCATCCATCCATCCATCCATCCATCCATCCTTTATTTACCGCTTTTCCTGTTCGGGATTGTGCGGGTGCTGGGTGCTGGAGCTGAGACACCATAGTCAAACCAAAGTCCGCCATCTTTCATCAGGGATGGCAGGATTTACCGTTCTACTTGTCGACAACAACAACATAAAAATTCTGCAATAACATTTTTTTTTAATATATAAAGCTCA